GACCTCTAACGAAGACATTGACAAAAGCATCATGATAATTTTGTCGATACAATCCTTACCGTTCAAATTGGTGCCACGGCTTAGCAACGGAGTGGCAACAAAAAATCGTCTGTTCTAGTGTGAAATTCGGTACCGCTGCATCGTTAAAATATCCTCAGAGACTTCTTCCAGCATTTCCTGATTCGGACTTTTGTGTTGAATTCTTGGGAAAGAGATTGCTGAGAAATTGACAGAAATTGGAAAGGGGGGGCAGGGAAATTGAACGAAAAGATCATAGTGGCATGAGCTCTTGCGGCGTAGGGCGGCAGCTGGAGAAAATAACCAAACGTCTTGAAGCTCCAGAGAGAAGCGAGATCTTCCTGGGGCCAGATGGTATTGAATACCGCGGGGTACCAACAGGGAACGGATTATCCTATGGACTCGTATAGGCTGTACCTTTGGGCCTTCTTAGCTTGGGGGACCTGCTACAAGATTTATGAAACATACACACACGCACGCGCGTAAACACACACACACACACACACACACACACACACACACACACACACACACACACACACACACACAAAACACACAAAAGAAACACACACAAACACACAAAAAAAACACACACACAAACACACACACACACACACACACACACACACACACACACACACACACACATAAACAAACACACACACACGTACATAAACCCTCAAGTTAGAGAGTGGCTTCGTCCGAGGGGTCCCCATAATCTCATTAGTCAAGGCGCTCTAAAAGGTCATAATCGGCCCCTGGATGCCAAAGAGAGACATTATCTGGAGTCATCTCAAGAGGGACGAGTCTACGATGGTAAGTGATAGATCGTCGGCAACACCGGCCTCGAAAATCAGACGTTGTGAGCCGCTGTGAGGTTGCGAGGAGGTTAAACCTGTCGCTTTACGCCACGGAGGCTTGGGCGCCCAGAGGCAATCCGGCTCCCAGGGTAAACATTTAGTTATGATCAGCTGAGTCACATCCGAGGAGATGAAAGGTGCCTGGCTATGAAATAGGCGAAGTTCACTTTCGTAGCATATTTCTCTGTGGCTGTAAATACTGGCGAAGCTTCCCCTCCCCCCTTTTTTTTTCTTTTTTTTGTCGTGTTTGTGAAACTACCAGAAAACACGATCCGTTTCTTTGATTATGAGTATATTCAAATATTGACGTCAAAGGCCGTTGATATACCATGTACAGCTACAAGTAAACCATTAAGTGAATACGAATTACAGCCTCCCCCCCCCCCCCGTCCCACAAGAAGCTATAACAATAATGATAAATATTTAAAAAACAATAATAATCCCGCCAATAAAAAAATGTAAACAAACATGGCGTGTTTCAAAACCTCTCATTCATTCACTGTCTCGGCGAACCCACAAATAACAAAATAGACAATGAATAATCCTACAATATAAAGCTATAAACCCTGTAGTAGTAAAAAAAAGACGAAGACTAAGCACTGAGAGTATATATATGCAAGTTTACTAAGCAGCATTCACGAGATTTAGACAAGGTAAAAGTTCTACAATGGACGCTCCTGAAGGGGGAAAACATCAGCTTTTAGAACGCAGAAAAGGAGATATCTTTGTTCCGCCGCCCTTGAGGGTTACCCTATTTTTCTTATCTCGCTTTTTTTAGAAAAATAATTTCCTTTCATGTACAACAGCACTTGAGAACGATGGAGGAGGAAGAGGGAGAGGGAGAGACGAGAGGAGAAGACGGAGAGAGAGACAGACACGTGGGAAATTAGACAAGCCGATAAACACACACAAATATAGACACAAAACAGAGTAAAGAAAAAATTACAGAAAAGACAAAGGGAAAATAAAATAGGAAATACATAAATCCGGAGAATGGGGAGAAGACAGAGAAATAGAGGAAACACAAGAAGAACGAGAGAATAGACAGAGATTTCCTAAAGATGAAAGAGCATACGGGATGAGGTGAAATTGCCACGGCCATTATAGGCTATAGAAAGAGGGAGAGAGAAAGACGGAGATACAGAGGGAGAGAGAGAGAGAGAAAGAGAGAGTCAATAGATAGAAGACAGAAAGAGAGAGTCAATAGATAGAGATAGAGAGTTAATAGATAGGAAAAGAGAGAAAGAGAGTTAATAGACATTGAGAGGGAAAGAGAGAGATAGTTAATGGATAGAAAGAAAGAACTAATAAATAGAGAGAGAGAGAGAGAGATTAAAACAATCGCGAGAAAGAGAGAGAACGATCAACAATCAAGGGAGAGAGAGAGAGACAAAGACTGAACGAGCAAGAGAAAGAGAGGGAGACACAGAGACAAAGAGACAAGGAGGAAAGACAACGAGAATTGGGGAGAAGGGAAAAAAATATTAATTAAAAGGAAGAGAGAGAATAGGAACCCATGATAAAGGAGGAATTAGACGGTATAGGGGAGAAGATTGTGTGTAATTTCACAATATAAGGTATTTCGTTGACGTTTGGTTAGCCTCGGGACGTGTTGTGTTTGTTTGTTTGTTTCTTTCTTCTCCCAGTCGTTTTCATTCAGATTTTGACGACTACATCTCTCAACGTCTAACGTCTAGATAATCGATTTATATATTAGTGCCTGTCTGTTCATCTCTCTCTCTCTCTATACACACACACACACACACACACACACACACACACACACACACACACACACACACATATATATATATATATATATATATATATATATATATATATATATATATATATATATATAT